TCCCACAGGGCTGCCAGGTAAGTCTGAACCGCCCACTTTTCAGTTAGACGCCGAGTGCCAAACCCGCTGCACCACCAGGGCTCCTTGAGAGTCAACGTAAAGGCACTTTACACCCCTGTGGAAGTTTCTGGCAAGCCCGCTAGCACAGCCTTCTCACTGTCCAGATACAGAGCACTCTGCCTGGGCCAGAGCAGCTGGGCTACCGAACAGGAGGAGAACCAGTGAGCACTCCCTCTCGGGTCCCAGAGGCAAACCAGAGGTCCCGCAGAGATACAGTCTCAATACTTCCCTCTGGGCAAGCCCTCTGCCACAGCGTCACACCCACCGGACCCCCATAGACCGCCTTGGCCCCCTCGTGGCTGGTGGCCTAGGGCTTGGCACACTCGGGACCACATATCTCTGAACACAGTCCTGTGGCCTTCCCAGAATCCCACTCCTTTGCTGCCTCCTGATAGAGTCCCTTTCCCCTTCAGTTCTGTCCCTTTCTAGAATTTCCTCCGCCATCCCGGCCCACACACAGTGTTCCTCCCTCCTCTGAACACCTCACACTTTGTCTCCACCATCTTTAGCCTTAGCAGTGTCGGCCTGGCACAGCGCCCTGTCCATAGGAAGTACTGGGTCCTTTTTGTTGTTGTTGTTGTGCATGCCCTGCTTCTGGGGACTTCTGCCGGTGGAATGGCCCAGAGATGGCACACATCAGTTTATTGATCACCTAATGCAGAGGGGCAGAGAGGGCACCAGGAAGACCACACGGCCCACTTAGCTTAGGGCAGCTCCAAGGGCATCACAGAGGTGAGAAGTGTCTCCACATCTCCCCACAGGAACACCACTGGTCTCGTTTGTACCTTTCTCTCGTCTTGGGCGGCGTGCGTAAATATCTATGCAGCAAACATGCTGTTCTTGTGAAGCTTTTATATCTCACATGTTGTTGTTAGATGCCATTGAGGCAGATCCAACTCCTGGTGCCCCCACGTACAGCAGAACGAAACACTGCCCAGTCCTGCACTGCCGTTTCTATACTTGAGCGTGTTCCTGCAGCTTTTTGCTGACTCTCTACTTTACCAGACATGACGTCCTTCTCCGGGGACTGGTCCCTCCTGATAGTATGTCCAAAGTACCTGAGGTGAAGTCTGGCCATCATTGCTTCTTGTAAGACAGATTTGTTCATTCTTCTGGCAGTCCATGGTACAGTCAGCATTCTTCACCAACACCACAATTCAAGTGTATGAGTTTTCCTGTCTTCCTTATCCATTGTCCCGCTCTCACATGCATATGAAACTCAAAACAAAACCGAACTCAACACCATTGAGTCAATTCCGATTCATAGCAACTCCCATTGGGTTTCCAAGGCAGTAAATCTTTACGGAAGTAGATTGCCCAGTCTTCCTTCCGCAGAGCAGCTGGTGGGTTTGAAACACCAACCTTCTGGTTAGCAGTCAAATGCCTTAGGCACTGAGCTACCAGAGCTCCTTACAGGCATATGAGGTGATTGAAAAGACCGTAACTTGGGTCAGGGGCACCTTAGACCTCAGAGTGACATCTTTGCTTTTTAACACTTTCAAGAGGTCTTTGCAGCAGATTTGCCCACTACAACACATTGCTGCTTCCACGGTCACTGATTGTGAATCCAGGTACAATTAAATCCTTGACAACTTCATTATCATGATGTGGTTCATTATCATGATGTGATCCAGTTGTGAGGATTTTCATTTTCTTTATGTTGGGGTGCGATCCATACGGAAAGCTGTAGACTTTGGTCTTCATTAGTAAGTGCTTCAGGTCTTGCTCTCAGCAAGCAAAGTTGTGTCATCTGTATATCACGGGTTGTTAATGAGTCTTCCTCCAATCCTAAAGCCACATTCTTACATAATCTTTGAAATTATGATTTGAAATGGCTGCCCTAGAATTCAAGGAATTAAAATACCAACACTGGGATCACACTCAACATTTTATGCCTTTTTTACATCACAGAACTCTTTCCAAATCTCTACTGTTAGTCCTTCCTCCTTCTGCTTGGTGGCGATAGAGTGTGAATGGGCTTTTCCCCCGTGTTGTGTTTTACGGTTTTATAAATAGTGGTGTAAACGATGTGCTGAGTGTTTTAGCGGAGTCCTTCAGTGGCATACACGGTTGAGCACTCGACTACTGAACAAAAGTTTGACGGTTCAAACCCACCCAGATGCTCCTCAGAAAACAGATCTGCTTCCAAAGGTCACAGCCTTGAAAATCCTATGGACCAGCTCTACTGTGTGCACATGTGGCCTCCGTGCAGCAGAGTTGACTTAAAGGCAGTGGGTTGGGAACACTTAACCTAAAAAACCAGACCAACTCGTTGCTGAGTTGATTCCAACTCACAGCGACCTCTTTGGGTTTCCAAGACTCTTTATGGAAGGGAATCATTCTATCTTCATTCTCCCTTGTTCTCTATGCCACCAGAACTCCTCTGGCCTGGCAGAAACACTTAGGCCATTACTAAAGTGGGCCTTGCAGTAAATACCTCTCCTTTTTT